AAAAGCTGCATTAATATACTTCAGTTTAATACAGAACACGTTTTATTTCGAACAATGGAAAGCTATATAAAAGACCGATAAGCCAGCCGTATGATGTAAATTAAAATCCTAAATGAATGTCTATGATAGCATAACCGGACAAAAACCGTGCTCGTAAACAAACCATACAATGAATAATGGAATTGCTGATAAACAGTATTATAGTCCTACACTACCTCTTTTCAAATTCAAATTTTCTATGAAATATATTTTAAAATAAGCATTTGACAGAACTTTTACGATCGTCTCATGTGGATAAAAACGCGACTTTTCAGTATGCTAAACATTCTATATTCTGACATTATTTTCGGAGTTATTACGACATGAAAATTATAAAGTGACTTCACAACATGTGTATATTTTTCTGATCTTTCCAATGATATCAAATTCAATAATTTCCGTAAAACGGTTATTCTTTTATTAAACAGTTGCCAGAACTTTTGAAATGCCCCTCGTATTTCAACATTGGTCTATTTATGTGAAATTTTAACTACTATAAATAACATTTTATTCACGAGAACTTAATTTTTGCGTTATAACGCGAGACAATGAGCTTGTGAAAATTTCTTTCTCGCGATTAAAAGTATTCCTTAGGATTATGTAGAGGAAAAACAACAATTCCTGAAAATTATGTCTCGCTAATAAAGAGCCAATGACTATCTCGCAAAAATAAGGTGTCGCGAAAATTTTGTGTTCTACATTATTAAAACGCGAATTCTATTCGAAGCAACAGCACATTTCAGAAACTGCAAAGTATGCACAGACAATTAATAGCTTTATTAATTTTTAATTTCAACTAGGGTATGCCCTTGCGATTTTGAAATTTGTTAATGACCTACATTCAGTACACAAAGAATGCATTCATCATGTCATTGTCCATCGATAGGACTAAACTTCATACAGTACAGAGTGGGTTATACTATGTTATTTCCATAAGTATTAAAGTCCTGTGATAATAAAAGAGCTAAATTATAATAAATTCAATTTCAAAACCCCCCACCCAGATTTTGCACGTCTATTTTCCGTTGATATCTCATAGTAGGCCTTAACAGTGCTGCGTAGCCATTTCGTTGAATTATTGCTCGTATATCCTGCAGATTGGCTTGTGGTATGTACACAAAGAAGCTTAAAATATTATATCGGAAACATTCTGTTTATTATAAACTATGTTTAAGTATACATACACAATGGCTGCAACGTTATTGTTGACAACTTACACGAACTATCCTTCACGCACACGATTCTACAGGTTACACGATCTTACACGATTGCTAACGCAATCTCACGATTCTTCACTCAAAATAGTTCAAAATATTTAGGAATCGATATTTTCAAAAAAATACGGCTTAAAGCTAATTTAATATTTCCAAGAATTATCAATATTATTTTATAAACTTTGAAAAAAAGGAATGGATATTTCTCTAACTAAATACGTGTAAGACTTAATACATTAGATTATAAATAATTATTTAGGTAATTCTCCAACCTAAGAAAACGGATTTTTTGTTCTATCAGAAGATGCACATTTATGTGTGCCGTATAATTTGATTGAATTGGATTTCATAATATGTAGAAAGAGGGACACGATTGAAACAAAATGGCAGCATAAATTAATTAAATTACGAATTTTATCCGTACATATCCATTGATTCAATGATTCTCTGAAAATAAACTTTCCAATTACTTTTTTATTTGCAGAAATTTAAAAATAAATTAAAAGCACCAGAGATAAACACATATAATAAAAAAAAACAACCAAAAAAATTTCGTGTGCATGTATATTCTTCAATTAAATATTTATGTAAGAATTGAAAAATGTTTATGTTGTTGTAAAAATATTTAATTTTGATGCATTGATTTTTAAAATATCTTTACCACAATTAGCAGAAAACAAGAATGAAAATCAGATTTAAAAAAAGTTAAAGATCTATGTACAGTTTATCACAACATTAATCGCGGTATTTGTCACGAACTTAATATTGTACGACGTACTAAATTGCTTGTGTACGAGCAATAATTAGTTCGTTCTGCATTCAATTATGTAAGTTGCGCTTTATTCCTTTATTGGCATTTAAATAAATTAATGAAAAGAAGAGAGAAATGCTTATTTGCTTATTTTACAATTAACATTCCGATAAAAACTTACAAAAAGAAATTTACACGATTCTAAACGCACGATCTTGCACAATTAGAATCGCAAACGATTGAGACTGATTCACGCACGATCTCGTACGTTATACGAACGATCACGCATGATACATGAACGATTCTACACGATTGGTTTGTCAACAATAACGTTGCAGCCACAGTATCAATGAGGGAGTCCTGGTCGAGGGGAACTAGAATCTTGCTAACGCGCTTAATGATATACTTTTTGATCCTTTTATTAATACTAATACTAAAAAAACAAGAAGCCCAGGGGCCACGGCGCTCACCTGAGTTCATCGGCTAGGAAAAAGCACATATCAGATCAGAACTGAAAGTTTACCGAGGTTGGGGTGGGGTGGGGGTAGGCTTGACCACAGGGTGTCATGACTTGAACAAACTAGAACCTACACTTCCTGCGGATGCTTCCATATAAATATCACTAATCATGGCTTTGAAGTACTCGAAAAGGAGATGTTAAAATATTTTCCAATATATTCCTATTTAAGACTTTGGTATGCAATTTTGGCACCACCCCAGCCCCGGGGTTCATGATTTGAACAAACTTAAATCTATACTATATGAGGATGATTCCACAGGAGTTTCATCTTTCCTGGTCCAGTGGTTCTTGAGAAGAAGATTTTTTAAAGATTTTTCCTAGATATTCCTATGTAAAACTTTGGTCGGCCATTATGGCCCTACCCTAGCCCCCCAGGGTCATGATTTGAACAAACTTGAATCTACACTATCTGAGGATGATTCCACAGGAGTATCATCTTTCTTGTCTCAATGGTTCTTGAGAAGATTTTTAATGATTTTTCCTATATATTCCTATGTAAAAAATTTGATCGGCCATTGTGGTCCAACCCTCCCCCAGGGGTCATGATTGAAAAAACTTGAATCTACACTACCTGAGGATAATTTCACATGAGTTTCATATTTCTTGGCCCAGTGGTTTTGGAGAAGAAGATTTTTTTAATGATTTTTTCCTATATATTCCTATGTAAAACTTTGATCGGCCATTTTGGCCCCACCCTACCCCTGGGGTCCTGGTATGAACAAACTTGAATGTACACTATCTGAGGATCATTCCACATTAGTTCGATCTTTCCTGGTCTAATGGTTCTTGAGAAGAATTTTTTAAAAAGATTTTTCCTATATATTCATATGTAAAACTTAGGTTGGCCATTATGGCCCCACCCTAGCCCCCAGGGTCATGATTTGAACAAATTTGAATCTACACTACCTGAAAATAATTTCACACGAGTTCCATCTTTAATATCTCAATTATTTCTTGAGAAAAAGAATTTTAAAGATTGTTCCTATATATTCCTATACAAAAATTTGATCGCCCATTTTGGTTCCCACCCTGTCCCCGGGGGTCATGATTTGAACAAAATTGAATCTACACTACCTGAGGATAATTCCACACGAGTTTCATTTTTCCTGGACCACTGGTTCTTGAGAAGAAGATTTTTAAAGATTTTTTCTATATATTCCCATGTAAAAATTTGATCGACCACTTTGTCCCAACTTTAGCGCCCAGGGGTCATGATTTGAACAAACTTGAATGCACATTACCTGAGGATGATTCCACAGGAGTTTCATCTTTCTTGTCTCAATGGTTCTTGAGAAGATTTTTAAAGATTTTTCCTATATATTCCTATGTAAAACTTTTGGCCCCACCCTACCCCCGGGGGTCATGATTTGTACAAACTCCACATGATTCCACATGAGTTTCGTCTTTCTTGGCCCAGTGGTTCTTGAGAAGAAGATTTTTTTTTAAACGCCATTAATTTTTCTCTAATTCATAATTATCTCCCCTTAGAAAAGGGCCCTTCATTTGAACAAACTTGAATCCCCTTCATCCAAGGATAAATTGTAGCAAGATTGGTTGAAATTGGCCCAGTGGTTCTTGAGAAGAAGATTAAAATGTGAAAAGTTAACGACGACAAGAACGACAACGACGACAGACGACGGATAAATTTTGCTCAGAAAGCTCACTTGAGCCTTCGGCTCAGGTGAGCTAATAATAGAGGATTACAAATGACGAGGAATAAGCTTCCAGAGAGGGGATGAGGTCACTTGACTAAACACACGGGGATTACACGTTCACCAATAACATAAATATATCAACGCAAAGGTAAAATCGAGGGGATTACGGAAAACCGAGAATTAGCTTCCAAAGCATGGATTAGCTTATTTAACCAACGCCCTGGGATTATTATTTCTCATCCCAACCTTATCAAATTATTAAAAGTTTTCATTTTCCACTTCTTAGGAGAAAAAAAAACTTCAAAAAATTATCCACTTATCTAAACTTGTGAGACGATATCAAGTCTCCTTCAAAGAAAAAAAAAATTGTATCATGTATCATCTGTCCTTAAATACACAATGCACAACAATAACATTTGGCTTAATAAAGAATAGTGAAGGAGCCTATTTAGTGTGCATTGCAGGAATTTTTTTCCGAAGAGGATTAAGGGGGTCAATCTCAGTCACAATTCATCTAACCTAGAAAATTCTTTACAAGGAATAAAATCATAAAAGTGTGAGGGGGAGGGGTTCGTTTGAATCGAAACCGTCATCTGATTGACTTTGTTACCAACTTTTAACAACCCAGGCATCCATCTTTTGTTATTTAATTTGTCCTTAAAGAATTTCAATTTGCAGTATATAAGATTGACTTGCTTACAAACATGTATGTCCTCTAGAATTAAATTATGCAAATAAATTAAGGACTAAATTCATATAGTATAAGGAAAACGCTTTTATTTAATTAAGAAAAATTATAATTTTAGATCAATAATACTCACAACGTTTACTGATCCTGTCATGAATCCCCCCGTCAGACACGGTACAGTGTGTGAGGATGGCCAGCTGTAGTCTATCTATGAAGAGGTCGTACATCTTCTCCGGCTTGTTCGGTATATACAGACATCTCTCTCCCTCACTTTTTTTATAATCCCAGGACCTGCAGTATTCTGAGATCACGTCACGTGACGCCGTGGTCAGGAAAAATTCCAGATCACTGTCTTCCGCCAGACACTCCGTAGCAAAGGCGTATATGACGTCATGTCGGATGTCGTCTGACATAAACGATATCACACCGTTATGTGATTTTGTAATTCCATCAGGGAGATCTACCGAACCATCATCAGTAACGTCTGTGAAATACCTGTCTCTGATTTTGTCTCTAGCGATTTTATGAGATTGTTCATCAAGATTCAGTTGATATTTTTCAGCTAACAATATGCTGTACAATAGATTCCAAATTTTTAACGAATAGGTATGACGATTACCTGAAATGAGAATAAAGCTATTTCTATAATAATTAGCTTACCCCCTCCCCCTTTTTCCTCTCAGGTTGACCAAGTTTTGGGGGAAATTAAAATTCTTTCTTTGCTTGCTAAATTTGAATAATTTGGGAGATTTTGAACGATACTGGTATACATCTATCTTTTTTTCTTAACTTAGTAAAACGGAAAAATTTGGTGACAGACATTGTATTGTATGATTTATCATAGTTTCCTCATAATTTATGGTCAAAGAAAGATAAGTCAGATTAGTTGCTTAGTTGATTTATCTCCCTTGTAATTGACTGGACCTTGTTTAATGTAGTATGGCTGATTTACATTACATGTGCATTCAGTATTAAGTTTGTTAAATTCGATTATTATCATATAAACACTACAATTGTACTCATGTTTGAGAAAAATCTCAGATAATATATCAGATTTGAAAAAAAAACCTCAAAAGTGTGAGAATATATTTCTTTGGTGGTACAGTTTGTTGAGATGAGAATATATTTCTTTGGTGGTACAGTTTGTTGAGAGGAACTTCAATTTTTAGAGAAATAAAAATAAAATTGAAATATGCCCTTGCAACAAAAATGCTCCATAATGCAACATGAAAGTTAGAAAAAGTTGGAATAACCATAAGCAGTTTGATGAGTTTGTGTTAACTACATTGTAGCGTCTTTAAAATTAAAATTTACATTAAAAACAATGAAGGAAAATGATAAATGTACATGTACAGATGCAAAAGATTAAATTAACTTATCTTGCGTGGTTTCTTTAAAACTAAGCAATATTCAAATTTAAAAAATTAAGTTCAAGGTCGCAGGAAAGTTCAAGTTTGAAATTTTAATGCAGTTGAATAGTTCTTTTGAGCAGCATATTTAGTTTGATAAATATTGCGGATGGTTTATTTAAATATGAGCTATATACGTATTTAAAAATGAAGTCTAGGTCAAAGTTGAAACAATTTTGTTGTTTATAAGTATGTATAAGAATATAAGGTTTGAAAAAAAAATATCTCACCATTTATTGGTTATTTACAATTAAGCTAAACAAGAATTTTAAAAGTGTGAGGTCAATGTCAAACTATGCCAATTAATTTTTATAGCTCATATGGACAAAACGGTGTTCATTCTGCTCAAGTGCAAATTCGCCAAACTGGTGCTAAAATGATGATAGATTCCATAAAGGTTTTATAAAGAACGTACAAAAGTGAACACTTTTTTAGCTCACCTTACTGAAAGCTAAAGTAAGATATTCTGATCTCAATTCTGATTCGTCTGTGTTTCAGTCCGTTTGTAAACTTTTCACATTTTCGACTTCTTCTCAAGAACCATTAAGCGAATGTCAACTTAACTTGCAACAAAGCACAAATAAAGGACAATATCCTCATTCAAGGGGAGATAATTAGGAAATAGTGAAACTGTCGTGGTATTCTTTAAAAGTTTTCTTCTCCAGAACCACCTCTAGATCATTCGCGTTTCTGATCTCATCCGTCCCCCTTTGTTCACGGATTTTGTGCACTCTCCAGATATTTTCTATAATATTGAGATCAGGACTTTGTGGGGGCCATGGTAGAGTGTTAACGTTGTTGTCTTGTTTCAAACGATTTGAGAAAGCGAAGACATGACAGGGGGCATTGTCTTCTTGGAAAATCCAGCGTCGGTTTGGGAAATGATGAGCGATCACAGGCCAGATACACTCATCAAGAATTGTAATATATTTCTCCCTATTCATCTTCCCATCTACAGCTTTAAAGGTACCAACCCCATTATAACATATGCAACCCCAAAACATGAGGGAGGCCTGACTTTTTGTTTCCCAATCACCACGTAACCCGACACATTCAGGACGTATTCTTTCCTCACTCTTCCTCCAGACATGAACTTTATCGTTATTTCCAATAACTATCTTAGTCCCATCACTGAATATTATGGATGACCAATGATTGTTGATTGTCCAGTGCAATTTCTGTCGACAAAATCGGGTTCTCTTCTTTCTATTCACGCGTGAAACAGTTGTTTTCTAAGAAACTACAACCTCTTGTAACCTTCCTCTGATAATCGCCTGTGAACTGTTCTGAGAGACACATTAGATCCTGTCCTGGCATTAAATCTGGATGTTATATCTTTTAAATTCTGACGACGGTTGATTTTAATGCTTCGGAAAAGAACCCTGTCATCTCGTTGTGAAGTTTTTCGTTTCACCCCACTTCTCAGTAAATTTTCTGTGTTACCCCTTTCCCTCACACTTTTAAGAAATTTTTGCATGGTACATGTACGACTGTTAATTACAGTTAGATTCTCAATTTTATACCTTGACAGACCTTCATTTGACATCTGAATGATTATTTCTTTAAGTTCACTCGTCAATTCTCGACCATGGGGAGCCATATCTCCAAGCACACGATAATTGTTTATCAAAGGGGAATAATCCAAATTTACAACAATGGACAGATTAAGTTAAGTCTTACCTAAATTTCAAATAAATATTGTTTTCCTTTAAGAGAAGCGATAACGTTAATTTAGCACCTGGTTCATCGCCCTTAAATACTTACGATGAAGGCGGCCATTTTGCGAACTCATTTATGTTATACTACTGTACATGTCTTTTTCTCAATCAAATATGAATAGTCGTCCCTCGCAACGACCTGTCGACGTGTCGAAATTCTGGTTTACATATTTATATTTATGCCATCTTAAAAAAAAATACCTATTTACAAAAGTTAAAAAACAAACCTAATAGTCATAAATATTATGTCATTCAAAGTAATCTTTATCATTAAATTGCCTTGTAAAAATTTTGTTCTTCGGTAAAATCATGACTATGGTATAATATATATTACAAATATTCTTATATGAAATACTGTTGACTTATATACATGCATTGAAGGAAATTGGAATTTTTACAGATTTCGACCAGCATATATGATTAATTTCATTTATTCTGATTTTTTTTCTGATATTTTGTATTAAAAACCAGGGTGTAAGTGGACGATTACCATAAAATGGAATTTTATTGACCCTTATTTTTTAAAAACATGCATAAATGAAAGTTGTACTAGATCAAGAAATCTTATATAATATTGGGTATATACAAGTTTGCATATTTTTAATCTTACTTGGTTTTCTGTAAGGTTTGTTGTCGATGATGTAAATGTCCCAGTGTGGATGGAGACCGATACAGGATCTCACGATGCCAGGCCTCAGGTATAACCAGAGCCACGTCAAGTGATCTACACTGTTCTCTGATCTTCCTCTGTAAAATACAGCCTCCCCTTCTCTTTTTAGATTCACTAAAAATTCTTTCCGTTGATCTTCACTTCCCCTTAGTATATTATCTGAAAGATTCACTGTAGAAAAAAAAAATGAATTTCGTATAATTATATCGTATAAACTTAATATCTAATCTTGAATGAAATGAAATAAATAAAATGAACATGTAGATAAAACTAATAAAGAATATGTTTAATAAAGAAATAACTATTAAATCATCACTTAAAAAAGAAATTTCAAACTGTAGGATTTGAACGCCCAGTGAAGTTTAAAAAGATCAGAATCAGAATATCATGAAATTTATCATTTAAATCTTGATATATATAATTACAATGAGTTTAAACATTATTAGGAAATTATCACAATTCTTTACATGCACTGACTTACACAACTTGTGTATTTCATCATATATAGTAGTGTCCTCCATGGTGACGTGAGTCAGTATGTTCATCTGCAGACGGTGTATCAGTGAGGAATCCCAGATACCATGGACACACTTCTCTCCAGGTTTTCTTTTGTATCCCATTGATCTCAGGTACACACTGGCTGTGTTATAACTACTGTAACAGAATGGTATATGAGGCTTTATTGATGCTATCCTATACATTGTCTCATCCTTTGTGTCCTTCGTTATCTTGTCCTGATCTTCCCAAAGGTAATCACGTGACTTCAGACTGTCCAGAGTCTGCTGTGCTTCCTCACGTGTCACAGGATTCTCTTTACGGTACATTCTCCATCGTATCTCATTAAGCAAGTCCAGCCACTCAGTGTCAGTGAAGTCAGGAGGACCGAAGTCAGAACACAGAAAACAGAATAACACGGACACCTCGTCATCAGTCAGCGTGGAAAACTCATCTAAAATATAATTTTAAAAAACTTATTACATATTTAAAATGCTTTGACAAGATCTTTTCTTCACTTTTTCTACTGTTTATATTCAAGGTATATGTATTTATTTTAATGTATCCAAAATTCAAATAACATTCTGATAAAAATTAGATATGACCAAAAATAGAATGAGTAATATTTTGAAGCGTTGTATAAAAAAGTTTCACTTTCCCTTTTGATTTGTTTTTGCCCTACCCCTCTCCCTAAAACCAATGCTTGGTATAAAGAAATAAAATATGTAACCAACAGTTTGCAGTGAAACTGAACGCAGTTGAGGTCATTTATATGATAAAAAATCTGTAAATATTGCCGTAAAATTAAAATTTAAAGGTCTTGTCATAACTGTCATCACGTCATATATTAAAGCCGTATCCTTGACAGGGCAAAAGGCATGGGTTAGTTTAAACCTGAAACAAGAGGCCCAGGGGCCACATCGCTCACCTGAGCAATTGGCTAGGAAAAAACACAGATCAGATCAGGACTGAAAGTAAACTGGGGGGGGGGCGCTTGAATTTTACACCCCCCCCGGGGTCATGATTTGAACAAACTTGAATCTACATTACCTGAG